ATATATATATATATATATATATATATATATATATATATATATATATACATAAAAAAACAGTCATAAGGGTCCATTTTTTAAAATTGAGATTTATACATCACCTGGAAGCTGGATAAATAAGCTTTCCATTGATGTATGGTTTGTTATGATATGATAAATCACACAGAATGGAGTGTATTGAAAATCAGAAATAGCACAAAGTCTCCTGTAAGGGGTAGATTTAGGGGTAGGTTTGGTGTAGGGCAATAGAATATACGGTCTGTACAGTATAAAAACCATTACGCATATGGGATGTTCCCACTTTTCACAAAAACAAACCTGTGTGTGTGTGTGTGTGTGTGTAAAATCCCCCATGTTCTTAGATTCTTCGGATAAATGTGTTTTGTGTAGAATCTCCTTTAATGATGCATGAGAAATCTCTGGTACTAGTAGTGTTGCGTATACTGACATGTGTCTTGTCTCAGATGCTGGGCCTGCGTTGCATTTTTGCTTTGAGGAGTCAGTGGAGGTCATAAACTCTTTGTACGGATCCTTCTTGCTTTCATCATACTGAACAAAACCTTTAAACAGAGTCAGAGCCAGGAAGGAGTAGAAGAACATCACAAACACGATGTAGTAGTAGGCGTTGTCGTAGGCGAGATCCGTGGAGGTCGGGGCTGTAGTGTTCGTGTTATCTTGGAATCCTGATGGTTCGTCTCAATTTCCTTCAGAATGGCCTGTCGGCACCTGGCCAGCAGGGCGAGAAGCAATGTGTGGTTCATTGTAGCGCCACCTAGGGGCATGTTGATACTAATACTGAGATCAGATTCAAGGTTTCAGTCTCTCAAGAGGAAACAGATGCTGTAACTTCACCAAATTTCATCTGTTTGTCAAAAAGACGATTCCTTCACCTTGAGCTGTGAAAAAAACAAGAGCATACAGAGTTCAGAGCATATGCTTTTTGTCCATGAACATCACTGATATTTTCACAAAGACTTGTTGATACTGATGTAAAGGGCAGATATGGAGCTGCTGGAGCGGTATGGGATAGATTATCCGTGCCGTTCAGAAGTTGTTCTCTGATGGAGGCCTTTATTCCAGAATGTCAATGTATGACTGAAGTTCTTTTTTTTCAGTAATAAGCTTTAAAAAGGCTTCTGATTTCTTTTGTCACTCAACTTAACTATAACGTTCAAACGTTGAAGCTTCAGTCCTGGACACGCTGAGTCACCCAATTATCAAATACAGCTCGTTTTGCTCCTTATACTTCATGTCAGTGAGACTTCAACAGAAGTTCATCCAGTGCATGGTGAGTTGGACTTGCTCTGATGATTATGGGTTTCTGTCTTTTTCTTGAACAACATGCAGTCTGACCAAATAAAGAGAGAGAGAGAAATGATAGCAAGCGAGATGCTTTTGGAAAGGAATGCTGTCTGGCATGCAGTTGTTCTTACTTTACTTTTACTTTTAGTCATTTAGCAGACGCTTTTATCCAAAGCGACTTACAAATAACGGTTCTCTCACGGCCATGATAAACACTCTTTATCATTTATGCCCTGCACCGCCACTGAACACCACTGCTGCTCAGCATACAGGATCCTTAATGCTCTACTAAGGCTGACAACAGCAGTCTAGGTGAAATATAAATTATTTTAATGTTTAATATCACTTTTTAAATTTACACACATTGCCTATACACCTTTCAATAAAATATATTTCTTACACTGTTTTGTAAGAAATATAATAATGCAAAAGTTAAAAAAAAAATCCAACAAAGTACCGGTAGTAACAATCTAACAAAATTAGCATTCCTGTAGATCAAACGTGAGCGTGGTGTTAGCAATGAGGTCATGAGTTTGAATCCCAGGAAATGCATGAAATGATTTAAAGACTTTAAATAAAATGCACCTTGAATGCAATGTAAATAGCTTGAGATAAAGCATCTGCATAAAACCATAACACAAAGCAATGTGTAAACTTTTTTCTGGTTGTGTTTAAAATCAGTCATAAAGTGGAATCCCAACACAATGCCAAAGTGCGTACTGTATCACATTTGATACACAAATTTCTAAAGCTTCCAAATGATTAACATGATCAAAATTTTGCAGAAAAACCTGTTGTACGCAATCTACTACATGCCTTCTCTCAAGTTTATAAAATGCCTTTTAGTTTAAAAAACAACCTCCTTCAGGTCTTGGTTCACATGTGTTTTTACTGTGAAATATTTTCGTTTTATAAAGTAAACATAATAACTTTTATATCGTTAGCAATATTTCAAGATTACCAATAACTGTACTGAAGCAACTTAGCTTTACTTGATTATGCATTTTTTTATTTGGTTAAAATTTAAGCATCAAATATGATCCATCAGGCTTTTGAGGAATGTTTATTAGTTAATCTCTCAATCATCATTGTATTGCACTGTTGAATGTTTTGCCCCCTACAATAAAAACAAGTGTGTGTTTGTTTGTGTGTGTGTGTGTGTGTGTGTGTGTGTGTGTGTGTGTGTGATATACTCTTATAAAGATCTCACTGATTTACATTGCAGGTTATTGGAATTTCATCAGCCCTTCTTGGTCAAATAAATATAAGCAACTGCACAAAATTACAGATTTTTGCTCAGTTTGGGCCTCTGAATATATTCTCAATATATCACACTAATTGAGCCATAAAAACCTGATGTATCAAATAGGATAAAAATGCAAACCTGAAAGAAAAAAAAAACATTTTTCAAACCTTCCTATCTGAAGGTTCAATAAAGTGTTCCATTTCAAAAAATGTAGTTTTCTGTAAAGACTGACTTACTATTATTTTGTAAGTCAGTCTTTACAGGGTTAAAAATAAATACTGACATTTGTTATTATTATCATGAACAATAATTCACAGCACAAAGCACTTTGTGGTTGGCATAAAGTACGTTTATCATCACTGCAAGTGAACTCATATTTAATGTAATCTGTGTTATTTTTACTTTGTGTATTTCAAGGGATTGGAGCATGAGGACGTAACACAAGCAATCCGTGTTGGCATCTGTCTGATTTTGTTTGTAGTCTCTTCCAAGTAACAGATACATTTACACCATAGAGTTTGATTGGATGTGTTTTCTTCTCCCTTTAGTTACTAAGCCTATTTATTCACTAAACAATTGCATGGTTAGTTGAATTTTCTTGTATTTAGCTTTGTCTTTTTCCCCGTTGTCTGTGACCCATAAGAACGGACCTGCGACCCATTTTGTGTCATGATCCACCAATTCAGAATGACTTCTGTAGATATCTGAGTGATAATTAGTTCTGGACTGAGCTGTTCAAAAGTTGAACTTTTGAATGATTTGCTCTCCCATGTTTGCGCATCTCCCATGTCATCTGTTACTGCGAGAAACAGTCTCGTGTCTTTCATGTTTTTCTCCCTGTTGGTTTTTTTTTTTTCAGTTTCTCTCCTCTTTCAGCCGTCTGTCTCAGAATGACGTGGGGGAGTGGGGAGTAACTCCTGCCCTGTCAGCTATGCTGTGATTGTCTACTGATTTCAAAGAGTGCAAGGGGTCAGAGGTTAAGTTGTCTCCAGTATATGTTATTGTGTCTGACACTAGGCTCCATTCTGGAAAAGCGAGCAAAAGAGAGGGACATTTCCATAGACATCCAGATTTTGGGGATGTGAAAAGCAAATGTAAAGACATAAAGGTGTGCTACATTAAATTTAATGCCCAAAAGATGGTTTAAACCAGCAAACCCCAGGGGAACTTTAAGCAGGCTCCAGGGGGTACATGGAAAGATTTTAACTGCTTCAACAAAGATATATATATAACAAAAATTATTACATTAAAATAAAAATATATGGGCAAAATATATAAATATATAAGAAACACATTTGGGGCATTTTAAAATGTACTATATTTCACTATACTAAACATGAACCTATACTTGTCAAAAATATACACTCAATTGCACACATTAATACACAAGAAAAAGACCAGCTGAAGACACCTGATGCATTTATGAGAGAGCAAGAAAGAACTGAGAAAAATGACTTTGTTCTCGTTCTCTGTTGTGTTTGGATCGTTTATAGCACTCTGCTTTAGTCATTAACCCTGTTAAGAGCTCCCTGGAGAGAAGGACTTTGTCATGAAAGAGAGTTTTTATGAAACTGAATATATTTCTAAATGAATAAAAGTGCTCTGTGAAGCTAAAGGCTGAATAAATCTGATAGCTATTGTGAACCGTCATGCTAATTTTCCTAAAACAGCATTTCATACATGGTTTATTATTTTATACAGGTGCAGAATGATTTTGAAAATGTTAAACATGATCCAGAAAAATAATGCAATTTATTGGTTCATTCCCACAAGCAAATGTAGAAGGATTATTAAAAAGGAAAGAGGAAAGAGAAAGCAACAAAGACGGGAAATATAAAGACTGATGAAAGAATCCATTGTTTTTTTTAAAGGTAAAAAAAAATCACTAAACAATAACCTTGAAAGCAATTTATTCATTTTTTCTCATAAATAGTAAATAGTGCTGCATTTTACACATTATCCATCAACAATTAGATGCAGTCGAGAACCCAAAAAAACATGAAAGTATAAAAACAACAAGCTAAAAAATAGGACATGAGCATTGTGTTACAGAGACAGAACAAAGAACTTCATCCGTAAAAATAAAGGTGACATCCATCCACATTATGAAATGCTTCATCATCTGGCATCTTTTCTTTGCATGAAAAACAATTTAAGTTTAAGGACAGATGATTTTCGTGAGCAAGTGAGAACAGATGAGTGTTTTTGAGGTATTGAGTGTGTATTGCACTTTCCTTGGGTTTGTTTGTGGCCTGTGTCTCTCTGAATGTTCAGAATAGCATACTACCATACCACTAATGTTTCAGTATGCACTGTGCAAAACTAAATAGACGACCTTCTACACAATATTATATCCCACAATGCAATGCATTCGACTTGACTTTCCTATTCCACTGTAACCAATAAACTAAGTATTTTATTTCTGGTTTCTTGACACGTCATCTGCCAAATCAAAGATGTTTTTACACTAAATTAGATTTTAAAAAATGCAACAGCATTTACAAGGTAGCATACTACAATTTGAAATTCATTGCATTATTTTAGTATATGTGACCCTGGACCACAAAACCAGTCTTAAGTCGCTTGGGTATATTTTTAGCAATAACCAAAGAAACATTGTATGGGTCAAAATGATCGATTTTTCTTTTATGCCAAAATGCATTAGGATATTAAGTAAAGATCATCTTCCATGAAGATATTTTGTAAATTTCCTACCGTAAATATATCAAAAAATTATTTTTGATTAGAATTATGCATTGCTAAGAACTTCATTTGGACAATTTTCTCAAAATTTTGATTTTTTTTTTTTTGCACCGTCAGATTCCAGATTTTCAAATAGTTGTATCTCTGCCAAATATTGTCCTATCCTAACAAACCATACATCAATGGAAATCTTATTTATTCAGCTTTCAGATGCTGTATAGATCTCAATTTCGAGAAATTGACCCGTATGACTGGTTTTGTGGTCCACAGTCACATAAACTGTAGTATACAGTATGCATTAAGCAGTACAATAGTATTCCATTCTGAACATCACTTCTGTCTCATAATAAGGTATTTTGTGTTCAGATGACTGGTAATAAAGGGGTCTGTGTTACATAGTTTATCCGCACTACCGAGGGTCACACTCCATCGTTTAAGCCGGAGAAGTGCCATCGGACACTTGAGTGCATTCCATTTAGGTCAGCCTCTTTCTCTGTATGAAGAGGACCTGAGAGCGTTGTGCCGAATGTGAGCATGTTCTTGTCTATTTATACATTTATTTATGAATGAGAAATAAGGAAAGTTGGCACATCTGTCTTTTCCGAGCCCTTCTTTCCTAAATATATCAACAAAATGTGTCTCAAC